GGAGGGAATTTAAACATCAAACGATCCATTGTTAATAAAACCATTAGTATTTAAATATTGATAACACAAAATAGGTGTGAGAAATTTTCCAAATATTATTTCCGCCTCATTATTAAACAAATCTTTAATCGATAGTCATATCTTTAGTAATGTTGATTCATAACACCGGTAAAGTTTTGATTTATTGAATTCTATGAATTGTCACGTTTATATATCCGCGCACGAATGGTATTGGCAACTTAATAAATGCCTTTGTTTCTTGAATGATTGGTGTTAAGGCCTTTGACCTTTTTGTTATTATAGTTAAAAAAAATATTAATTTTAGTATTTTGGGCACCTTATTTAAGCAGATATATTATTTATTATCTAACATTCTATCACAGAGTTAAAGTGCAGGTACGACATAAGTAACTTGTACGAACTGCAATCGTTTTTTGTAAACAACTCATCAACAGGTTCTATTGCATGACTTGCATATATATAATTGAATTAATAATAACTAACGCAATTTGCAAAATCATTTACATCATTTTGTAGAGTGTTTTTTCATCTTTACAACTTTTTCAAGTTCAATAATATTTCATGATAATATGAAATTGCATACGTTACATATACTATTGCTAATACTCAATAAAAAAATTGCGCAGAACTTTTTATTAGACTATTAGTTGAAAAAAATCTTCATAAAAGACTTAATCCTTTCCACTTGCTAATTATGGAATTACTGCGTATTTTGCCGCCGGGCGCCGGCATCCGAGTGGAAAGGGTTAAAATGCTTAGTGAAATCAAGAGCGAATTGCAAGATCTTCAATATTTTTTAATTTTTTTAATAATTTTTAGTCTTCTAAGCATAAGAATGATTTAGCAAAAATTATTTGTTTGGAGATAATTATACACAATCAAATAATCATCAACTTCTAATGTATACGTAAGATGTTACTGAAAAAAATGATACAAAAAAGTTAATAATTAATAATAAGTGTTAATAATCGAATTATTCGTTAATACATTGATAACATATTTTAAAGCTTGCAAATGATTGAATCTATTTTATAATCGAATTAGTAATCTTAAAAAATTACTATTTAGCTAAAAAGCTATCGTTACAAAATGATATCGAACATTTAAAAAATAAAATATTTCAAAATAATTTGATTAGAGAAGTCGCGTGGCAGTATATGATTTATATTTTAAACGACATTCTTATCATTTTGTTATGTAAATTAAGATATTTTAAGGTCGTTAGCACTCCAATTATTTACAGAAATCAATATCAATAATTATCCTATAGAATTAGCATTAATAAGCAAAATGTTGCACAAAACGTAATTTTATTGGTTTATATTTATATTTGCAATTGAGATTCTGGAGATTTTGTAAGAATAAAATAATGTAATAATATACATTTTTTTTTTAAATTTTAGTAATAATTAATTCAGTATGAAGTATAAATAATAAAAGAATTATATATTTTTTCTTATATGCTTAAGTATTTAAAACGTGTTTTGATTCTCATTGTATAATCAATTGAAAATTATTATCTAATAAATGATTGAAGTTGATAAGCATAAGTTCAACTATATATAAAAAAATATTCTACTACTAAAAAATTTTTTAATCAACACAAGCTTATAGAAATGTTCTTTCTGATTGCTATTTAATTATTGTAAAAAAATATTTATTTTCAGTAAAAATTATGCTAATCAATTTCTATCTACTTGTGATCGCTATCTTGTAAACAAATTTACAAAGAAACATTTTCTATTAAAGTTTATTTTCCTACCCCTTACTTTTTATTAAAAATTCAATGATTTTAAAATTATCGATAAAAATTGCATTGTTTAAATTTAATGTTCTAATTAATAATCTGATTTTTAACTTTAAAGTCTTAATTTGGATTAATAAGAATTTTTTTCTAAATTGCATTAATCTAGGGCAAATTTTTTAAACAACTTTGGGCTTTAAATAATTACTGAAAATTTAACTCATAGATTCGAAAATAACAATATAAAATGCGTTAATATAAAAAAGTAAGTACATTAATTCATAGGGTCATCAACCCATTTTATGATCTAATTATCACTTTTGAGATGTATATGACTTATTTTGTTATCAAACAACGTGGAATCATTTTATAGATTATATTAATAAAAATCGATTCAAAGTACACGTTGATTGTTGAACACTATACAATATCGACTTTGAACCTTTGAAAAATTGAATCGTCATTTTATCTTTAAATAACTCTCCAAACTTAAAAAAATTTCGAGCATATATGTAACTCATAGGTCTAAAGTTAAATTTAAGAAAATCCAATAAGATTCTAACTAGATCCAATTAGAAGGGTATTAATACAGTTAATAATATAAATGATAAAAAGTCATTTTTTTAAGTATTATTTGCAGATGTATACGGAAAAAAAATATTAATTTTCGTAAATTTGTTAGACATGTGGGCACTCGTCAAAATTAAAATTAATTAATTAATAAAATAAAACGTGTCCTTGGCTCTTAATTAATTTGGTCAAAAAAGTTGTACTAAAATATAAAAAGTGATCGCGCAGTACTATATTGAGAAATTATTATTAGTACACTGATTGCAAAAATATTTACATAGCAACTAATTCCGCAACAAAAAAAATCTTGATAATATTTTTTTAAGATTAAACTGCGTTGTAAATGACATTGCGATATGCTTGATAATATATAAAATAAAATTAATTTGATGATTAAAATTTATTTTAATAATTCGTGATGATTTTATCAGAACAAAATTATTTAGAATGCTGATATCAACTATAATTAGTATTATTGGTGAATTACTAGCGAAATTTTTATTCCCATTAAAGTAGCCAGGTTGTCATTTTAATTTTATTTAATTAATTTAACTAGACCGATTTCAAAAATTAAAAACAATTCGATGTATCTGATAAAGCAGTTGCGGATCCAGCTCGGCGCCAGGGGGGGTCATATTGAAAAGTTTTTAGTATGTAACAAATTTTATATATTATATATAATATATAAATATAACATATATATATATATATATATATGAGATAGAGCGGGGCTTAAAGATCCGCAGGTAGAAAGGTCTATCACCGATATCTCAACAAAAACAAGTAAAGTTTTAAAGATTTCTTAACAACAATATTTGAAAGTAGAGGGAAAAATTGTACAACCAGCCATCCCATTGATTCTTACGACGTTTAAAAAAGCATTTTTACAAGAGATAAATTAAATAAATATTTTTTCCAACTCTGCTGATGAATATTTTGGGCAAAATACCAATCAAGGTTATATACAGAGTCATCTTTGTAAAAATTTATCCATAAAAGTTATATTTTGCCTTGGCTGAATAATGTTCCTATTATTTCGTTAATGCCATTAAAATTAAAAATAATATATTAGATTTTTGTTCTCTCGTCGTCCGATTTTACCGCGCCCATGGTGTAAAAAAAACAAGTGACAAATTTTTGAAAAACAGCAAAAACACATTTCTACAGTAATGAGATAGCTGGGAGATGTACTAAACATAAACATAAACATAGTCAGATAGTTCTTGTTCA